ATTATTATTATTGGAGCTGTCTCTCAGGCAGTAACTTCAGATGCTGCCTTAAAGAATGTTGCCTGGGAACAAAGAGATGTGAAGGGTGAGATGTAGATTATATTGGTAAAATCGTCATGTGCATATCATATCATAATAATATAATGCATTATTAATAATAGTATTATTAAAATAATAATATGATGTATTATTGTTATTAAATAATATGATGTATCATATTATTATGATGTATACATGTGTTTGCATGTACACCTGCATGCCAGAAGAGGGCACCAGATTTTATTTTAGATGGTTGAGAGCCACCATGTGGTTGCTGGGAATTGAACTTATGATTGTTCTTAACCTCTGAGCCATCTCTCCAGTCCCCATCACTGAGTTTTTAAAGAAACCAAAACTTCTACTACAAAACACAAAGCTTTAATTTTAAAGCCCCTGGAGAGAGAGAGAGGGGGAGAGAGAGAGATGGAAATCATTTGCTGAAAGCAACCAAGAAAGCAACCTTAAAGAAAACAAGTATCCACCGTAAATTCTGCAAGCAACACGTGAATATAGGTCGACATATCTGTTTGTGACTCCTGTTCTGGATCAGCGGGTTTCAGCGCATTCTTTCCTTGTAAATTTTTTACAAGGAATTTTATTTAGACAAAATTTTTATTTAGACAAGAAACTCCTCATTCCTTCCCTGTATTATGTTTTCTGTGCTGTTTGAGAAATACAGAGCAAAACCCTTTGTCAGGAAGAGGCAACAGAGGCAGATGGAAGACCTAGGTAGAGAAGTAGAGGAAACTGAGCTCTCTCTCGGTTTAAACCACTCCAAGACTTTTTTTTTTTTTTTTTTTTGATGTCACACTAATACATCACAGACATGTCAGTGTTACACACTGGCCTGGATCTGAGGAGAAAACATGCTATACCTTGATCGAAGGTCTCTATTTCCATTGTTAGACTGGAGTGTGGAGCTGAGAAACGGTGTGGTTTGAGTCTCCCTGGCTGGAGACAAGTTAGGACTTGGCTCTTTCACTAAAGACCCAGAACAGCTCAGCAGCAGCTGAGTCAGCACCTCACCAAAAGACGTGTTTCATGCTTTGTTCATGGGAACAGTCAGAGGGTGTCTTTATGCTCCCTTCATCGGCTGTATGGATGCCTGCTGCCCAGGACCCGGACAACCATTCTAGGCTGGGGCCAGGCCATTTGAATTCTCCAGTTCATGAAGTCAGGTGAGGAAGGATCTCTTGGCTTTCAAAGCAGCAGGACCCCAGCCAGAGGGGCAGAGACTGCTCCCTGAGGCTCCTTCTTGCTCTGTTTCACCCTAGTTACCTGGGCTCTACGACCCTTCCCCTTGCTTATCCTTGATAAAAATGAGCTATTTCTAGGAAGAATCCTTTGGTTAAATGAAGTTTTGTTTGATACAATGTCATAGTTCAATTTTTGTGTGTGTATACATATACACACAGTTGCTGTTTTTTGTTTGTTTCTAACTAAAGTTATATAAAAGCTTGTGTCTTCAGTACATTTCTAAACTTAAAAATGAATTTTAGAAGTTTCTTAAGAATCCTTATCCATCTGAGTATTTTGTCTCCTTCCCGTAATCCCAGCACTTGGGATCTGGAAGCAGGATTTCCAGATAGCCTGAGGACAGCCTGTCTTCAAAAGTAGAAACAACTGCTGTGGTGACACTTGCCTTAATCCTAGCACTTGGGAAGTAGAAGCAGAGGGATGTCTGTGAGTTTGAGGCCAGCCTAATTTACATAGTGCATTTGAGACCAGGCAGAACTAGAGTGAAAACCTGTCTCAAAATCAAACTACTACGGCTAGTACTACTCCTACATATAATAATAAGGAAACCTTATCAGCTCAACCTTTTTATCTTTCCTATCAAAAGTCCTGGTCACAGAAGATTTTATCCCTTGGCCCTTTGTTCTGTACGGTCTGGAGAATGATCCATGTATGTTCTATTTTGAATGAGTTTAATAAGTATACAGCAAAAGTAAAAATATGCTTGGGTCTGAGGTAGAGTGAGGTCAATTCTGCATCCAGAGCTGGCTTTGTAGTGATTTAAAACAGCACATGACGATTTACCAATATAATCTACATCTCACCCTTCATATCTCTTTGTTCCCAGGCAACACTCTTTAAGGTAGCATCTGAAGTTCCTGCCTGAGAGACAGCTCCAAGCAAGGCCCTTCTACCTTTATTGTAGCGACCTTTGCTTTCACTCTGATTATCCTGTTTTCATAATTTTAAGACAAGCAGTATCTACTTGAAATGTCCCTTTGTCCATAAGCCGTTCTCTACTTCCTGCATCAGCTTCACTCATTGGGGTGACATCCTTGGGAAAATGAGGAAACTCCAAGCTCTGTGACAGGTATTCCACTGGCGAAAGGAGCCACTTCAGGCCAAATTAAAGTATAAAGGCAGGTGTATTGGGGGTAGCTCTCCCAAGAAACAGGGCCAGGGAAGAACCAGCTAAGAGCACAGCTAAGCCTCGTGGGAGGTCTGTCAAAGCAAGAACCCAACTCACTGAGTGAGTAGTTCTATGCATAATTCCGTCCTGTTTGTGGCCTTGAGCAGATTCAACGCTCTGTCACGTTGGCCTCTCGCCCACTATCTCCTTTGATCAGAACACCAGACCTTTACCTAAGTCACAGAGTTCTGATAGAGAGATACGTAAAGTTGACTTCGAAACTGGGAAATGTTCTGTGACCTTCAAGCCCCTGTTGGAAGGTTTGGGAGTGGATGGCGGAGGAAAGAGGTGATGCCCAGGTCCCTCTAACAAGGTTAGTGCAGTATTCAGTGGCATCCAGCCACAAGGAGGCCTCTCCTCCTGAGGACGAGAACAAGGAGAAGCGGAACAGACGACATTCCAGTTTGGGATGAAGTTTGGGCACACTCTTCAAGCTGACTCCAGCTGCAAACTTTAGACACCGAGGATTTGCGTGGTGCTACACACAGGAATATTGCTGAAGTTGCACAACTGTGAATATGAAAAACGACTTCGACGGCCAGAGGGACGCCTGGCTGCACACTGAGGAGCAGCGTGTGTGAGAAGTGGAGTGTGCCCGACAGGGTAGTGCCGTGGGATTGTCCTAACACCAGCAGCATACCGTAACGGACAAGCCCCAGGGTCTGTCGAATTAGCAGAATATGCTAGTGTGGAGCTGGGGTATGGATTCCATACCTGTGACTCAGTTTCTACTGGTGTGAAAGTCCCTTTGTTCTTAATTATGAATAAAATTAGAAAGCGGATTTGGGGCTCTCTCCTCCCCGTCCTCCTCCTCTTCCTTCCCTTCTTGCAAAATTATTTCTGCCTGGTTTACTGACCCTTTGACTTATTGTGCTTTTAAAAGCTGACGTTGTAAATCAAACAGCTCGCAAAGCTTTCTGAAGTAGAATTAGCATAATATGATCTTTATCCACGAATTGAAAAAAAGCACCTTGAAGTTAATGTTCTAAGGCTCCGTGTTAGGCTGCGGGTTCAGGTCTCAGGCTCTGGGTCAGATCTCCCAGAGTTAAGCAGAGTTAAGCACCTTGATTAGCTAAGCTTCAGTACTCAGTTTGTAGTTTTGGGTTGGGGGAGAAATGTAATTAGAAATTTATTAGCTTTCAATTAAAAACACGATTAAAAAATCCGTTCTGGGGCTGGCGGGCTGGCTCGGTCGTTGAGAGCACTTGATGCTGTTGTAGAAGACCTGGGTTTAATTTCCCAGAAGCCACACGGCAGCTCACCACCATCCATAGCTCCAGATCCAGAGGATCTGATGCCTCTAGGGACACCATGTACCCGCATCATGCACATACATGTATTCAGGCCAGACACTCATACACGTAAGACCAGATATGTATACACACATGTATATATACACACATGTATATGTATACACACACGTGTATATATACATATGTATGTGTGTGTATATATATGTTAAAAATTAATCCTGTTGCTTTATTAAGCCATATACCAACTTCTACCTCTTCCACCCCAATCACTTCCCCTTTCTGACATTCTTCCGCATCTGGCTCCAGCACGATTTTCAGCTCCCCTGCTGAGCCAAACATCTCACAACACTCTAGTGAAGGCATGGAACCTTGGCCTCGGTGGGTCCTCTAGTGCGTCCAGGGAACGGATGCTGCCAAAGAGCATAAAGCTGTGTCCCAAGGAGGTGTCACAAGCTGGGAGCTCTGGGGAGAACCCCCCGGAGGAGATTACAGGGTAGTAAGAATGGTAAGGGGGGTGAGATCCCCAGTGGCACACGCCTTTAATCCCAGCCCTCAGGAGGTAGAAGCAGGAGGATCTTTGTGAGTTCGAGGCCAGGTTGGTGTATAGAGTGTGTTACAGGACAGCCGTGGCTACATAGAGAAACCCTGTTTTCCTGTCGCGGGGTCGGGGGTGAGTGGGAGGGGGGAGCGAAGAAGAAAGAAAGGAGGGAAAGAAAGGAAGAAGGAAAGAGAGGGAAACCCCCAGCATCTACAGAGAGGGCCGGCAAGCTCCATCGCTAAAACAGAAAACCTGTTTGTCCTGACCGGGGAGGCACTAAAGGCGGGATCTGGGCAGAAACGCGGCTGCCAATGGAAAGCGAGGAAGCCTTTAAAGAGAAAGGCTCGCAAATTCGTCCTCCAGCATCTTTCTGCAGACGGAGCAGGACCGTGTGACACACGCATTCCTTCCTCCACGCCTGCTCGTGTCAGGCCCTTTGCAGGTTGCTGGGGAAACCCAAGCGGCTGCCGCGCGGAGCGCGCTTGGCAGAGCAGTGCTCCTGCTAGTCCCGCAGAACTGCCGCGCTCCACCTCGGACCGCGAGGATCCCGGGCTCCTGCAGCCCCAGATCCGCGGTGGCCACGCTAGGCCGCTCGCCTTCCCGGCTCGGGGCGCCGGGGCAGCGCTACGTCCCGCCCCACCCCCCCTGCTCCGCGTTAAGATCCGCCTCCCGGCTGTCAGGCGCGACAGGCCCCGCCCCCGCCCGCCCACCGCCGTGCCCAAGCCCCGCCCCCTGCCCCTTACCCCCGACCCTCGGCGGTGGGACCATCACAACCACCAGCTAGCTCCCCGCCGGGTCCAGCCTGCACTTCGAGGCAAGAACCGGCAGACATGGCAGCTCCAGCTAAGGCCGAGAACCTGGCCCTAGCAGTACACGGACCTGGGGACATTCGTTTGGTAAAAAGGGAAAAAAAAAAGGGTGGGAGCCCTTTCTCTGCCAGCCCAGCCGTGAGACCCACTAAGTTCCTGTCCCTCTCAGGGCACCCCTGCCTGCCCGGGTTTACCCAGATCTCAGCTGGCTACCGGGGGTGAGGGGCGGGGGTGGGGTTGCAGTTAGCGGCCGTTATCTATCTCTAGGGAGAATTCTGGTCGCGTGCTGCCAGGACCTTAGCTGCCTGGCCTGTGGCCAGAGCCGCTGAAAAAGAAACAAGCCGTCACCTCCTTTGACAGCTGAAAGTTCACACTCTTTGTTACTGCTCTTCAGGAGGGTCGAGGGAGTCTTCCAGGGTTAGGATCTCCCCAGATCTTCTCTGGGGAGACAGGGCAGGGCAGAAAGAGCTGGCAAGGCGACACTGAAAAGCAGCGAATGTCTCTATGTAATCCTCTTTGCTCGCAGCTGATAATACCCCCTCACAGAGTTGTTAATCGCGAGAGGACCCAGCAAGGGCTCCCGATGCACTTAACTGGGGTATAGCCTATAGTTTATCTCCCTTAGCCCACCTCTGGCTTCCCTGGAGCATTCTGGGTACCTCTGCCCCTGGCTTCAAACCTGACTCTGCCCCCTGAACTGGAGTTCAGAGATCTGCTGAATCATCTCTGTGGCCGTGCCAAAGTTCCCTTGTCAAAGTCCATCTCAGTGGGGCGTGCAGCGTGTGGGCTTGGGGACCAGCCACCGCTCCTGCTCCTGTTCCCTAGAATCTGTCGGCTACAGGGACGGACTCACCGGGACGAACAGTGGTGGTCCGTTTCACAGCCTTCCTCAGTGCAGAATGCACACAGACCCGAGTTTGGAAACATTTTCAGATTGTCCAAGAGTTCCTTAACCCCCCCCCCCACCACCACCACCACTTGGTAGGCCTATGCGTCCATCTGGGGAGTCCAAACCCTTGCCCGAAGCTGACACTTGCCAAGACGGTCGTTTTGGTTCATTAACGGAGCCAAGACAAGAACTCAGATTCAAACCCTCTTCCTAGCGCTGTTTCCAAGCGCTTTGGAACATCCATCCAACATGTTGATGAAAGAGACACTAGGATCGGTTATTGCGGTAAATGGCGCATATAGGGACAGGAGAGTGATGTGTCGCTTGCAGAGTGATTTAGGACTTCACTAAGTGAGAACATGCCCACTGTGGACCTAGGCATTGTGCTGAGGACCCAGGGAGGACACAGTCCCTTTCTCCCAACATCCCAAAACAGGGAGATAGAGGAAAGAAACCCTTAAAGCACCGTCCTGCACGGAGGCTTGTCCTGCCCTCAATCGCTCTTTAGGAGAATTGGGACTGTCTCAGCTTGCCTATCAATAACCCTTGAAGTGAGTTCCTAAGCGCCCTCAGTGGAGAGGATGCTATTGCTGGGATCCCCGCAATTCAACACAGGCCTCCTTGGTTCTCCCTTCCTTCCCAGGGGTGATCCTCTCCCGCCACCACCCCCATGGGGCACCCCTGTCCTTCCGGTTTCCTAAGGCAGATAGATTCAGCAGTTTAAGTCTGAGTGGTGAGACAGTCCCTGAAGCACAGTGTCTCTCAGGAGAACCACAGCGAAACCCGGGAGGTCGGAATCGCAGATCAGGTGGTAGAAGCCTCTGAATGCCGTCGGCCAGCTTGGCTATGGGTTGCAAAGTGGAAATGGGAAAGACACAGTTCCCTCCTTTTGATGTAACACCACACAGCAACAGACGTTCAGGTCTTTCGACGGGACAGGACGGGTGGGGAACTGAGGCCTAGCTTTCATTTGGGTCGACTAGAGGCAGAGTCTGCTGATAAAGATCCTTGCCTCCGGGGCTCACATAAAAGGAATTCTTTGGAGAAACCTCCATTCCTAGTATCTAAAGCAGGATTTCAAAGGGTTCCGAAGGGAAGAAGAGTGCAGGCTTTCCCAGTGTTGCCTTGCCGCCACCAGTAAGGGCAGAAACTGGCCAATGTCCAGGGTAGGTCTCTGTGGAAAAACAGGACCTGAGCTACTCTGCTGAGACAAGCAGGAAGGAAACATGACCCCCAGCCTCCCTCCTGCCTGCCTGGGGGACAAGATTCTCTTTTCCTTGATATAGTAATTGATGTCTTCTCACACTTAGGGTCAACACGGAGAGAGCCTTTGTAATTTGAGTGATAAAGTGAGAGACGCTTACACACACACACGCACACACACACACACACACACTAGGATGGACTAGTAAATGAGTATATACACAGCAGAGTGGAGGTTGTGCATCTAGATGCACACATATATTAGGATAGGCTGGTAGGTTTCCTTCATAATGACGGGGGAGATCCTCAGATTTCTCTATTTCATTTTTGTTTTGTTGGGTTTTTTTTGGGGGGGTTTGAGACAGGGTTTCTCTGTGTAGCCTTGGCTGTCCTGGAACTCATTCTGTAGACCAGGCTGGTTTTGAACTCACAGAGATCCACCTGCCTCTGCCTCCTGAGTGCTAGGATCACAGACATGTGCTACCGTACCCTGGCTTCAGATTTCTCTCTTTTAAGGTGGAGAAACTGGTACTTAAGAAGCAAGAGGGAGAAATAAGTGAGCAAGTTGATGTATAAGGAAACAAGCCCCCCATCAGCAAATAGTGTTGGTTCGTGAGGGTCTTCTCGAAAAGGAAGTAGTAAGGTCAAAGCCTTACTAGCGGCCTCCTGTGGAGGTCAGTCCCAGTTCCATGTCTGATAGTTGTGTGCTCAGCAACAGTCTTTTCTCCTGCTGTGGTCATCTTTGCTTGAAGAGGAGCACCAGGCCTATTCCCAGCTACTCAGGAGATTGAGGCAGGAAGTTAAAGTTCAAGGCTTGATTGTGGGCTACAAAGCAAGTTCAAGGCCAGTGCTAGGGGCTAGGTTAAATCCCTAACACAGAAGGAAGGGGGAGAGGAGGGGAGGAGGGGAGGAGAGGGGCCTTAGTATTCATTTGGGTTGTGTGAGCTTCAGTGACACAGTGCTTACCAGAGGGCCAGCGCAGAGTCCCATGCACCCCTGCTGGTATGTGCTAACTGTGGAGCTGGGAAGGAAGCCAAGGCCTTTAAACCATCTTAGCATGAAGAAATGGGGAAAGGCCACAAGCGTCAAATGCATATGGATAATTTTGGCAAAATTCTTAGAATGTGGGCCAGGCAAAACTCTGTATTCAACTGTGGCAGTTCAACTTCTTTATGCCTCTTTGGCCCATCTTGAGAAATCTAGAACTTGCCTTTCTTCATTGGAAGATGAATTACTGGTTCATGAAAACTGACTTTGCTTTTCTGCACAGGAAGTTTTTTGGTGTTGGGGGCAAGTGGGTGGCTTGTGAGCTTTTGCGTTTTTTTAAAGAACTATTTTATGCTGTACATTTTGCTCGCATAGTACGGATGCTAACAAAAGGAATCAAATATTGCTGCATTGCTACATCCCAGCCACATGCTGGGTACTTTAGTTCAGTGCTTCAGAGGTGAAAGAATGATTTTATTTTCATTTGCAGCTGACCACAGACAGACTAACATTTGAGCTGGACTCTGCAGGTCAAAATGGTAGCCATTTCTAAGTTTGCCTCCCAATTTCTTGTCCAACTGCACTGCGCATCAGTCCATGGACCATCCTCAGAGGGGATGCTATCCCCTTTCTTCCTGAAAAATCAGGGCCTTGCTTATTTTGGCATGTGGATTTGGGAACTAATCAGCTGCTGAACACCCTGGAGAAGTCAGCAAGGCAATGGGTTTGGGTTTTCATTTATTTTATGCTGTCATTGGCCATATGAGTCGACAACAAGGTAAAAGAAAAAATAGGCATTTAAAAGTGATGGGTTAATGTAATTTCATTACAAAGGGCAGAGAGAACAAAGCATTACTGTGATGTTTAAACAATCAGGGTTCTGTGAAGATCATGAGTTTTTGCTTTTTTGAGGAAATTTAACATGCCCTAGGGCAAAAGGATTGCTTTGAGGGCTAGCAAGATGGTGCTTGCTGCTGCCCGACAAGTTGAGTTTGGCGCCTGGAAGCCACATGGTGGAATGAGAGCACTGACTCCCGGAAGTTGCCCTCTGGGGTCCCCCAGCAGGCTGTGTGCCTTGCATCTACACGTGCTCGGCCACGCTAAATCAGAATGGCTTTGATTTAAAGGCAAGATACATCTCTATCTAATAAAACACATTTAAAATGGCCCAGCTCAGTTTGGGATGAGGAGAAAGGTATTGTCATGATCACCTGGGGCTCAGAGGGTCCTGGGCATCCAGTCACTTTCCCTGGCCGTTGTTGAATAGGAAGAAAAAACATTTTACGTTACTTGATGAGAATTAAGTAGTCCTCTGTCCTGTGTGGATTCGGCTCTCATGGGCAGGGGGTGAAAAAGAGTTACATTCCCAGTTATGAGGGAAGGTTTCTTACAGGAAAACCACCTCAACGTCAGTCCCTAGGATACAAAACTCTGCTGGGAGCCAGGTGCTGCCACTGACCTTTAACCCCAGCACTTGGGAGGCAGAAACAGGCAGTTCTCTGTGAGGTTGAGGTTAGCCTAGCCTACATAACAAGTTCCAGCCAGGGTTATACAGTGAGATCCTGTCTCAAAAAAACAAAAATAACAACCCTGTTCATTGGATAGACCCATCTGGATGTTTCCAGATACTTCACTTCCCATCTCATATGGGATCGTGAGGAAGGAGGAGAAGGAGAAATCCTTTATGAGAAGAGTTAAGTGGGAGGTGCTGGGTGTGGCTGGAGGTGAGATTGAGGAGTGGGGTCCCCTTGTGAAGGGAATGGGACTTTTCAGGGCTAACGGGAGTGTAAACAGATTCGAACTGCGGGACAGATTGGTATCAGCAGGACAGAAGAAGGAGAGCCTGGGCAGAGGACCAGCTCAGTGGACTATGGGAGAGCTTCCAACCCTTTCTTTTGACTGTCTCACATGCCAGGACCGATGGCTAGAACAAAGCCTCTTGCCCAATTAGAAGACCTTTGGCTTTTCCTCCCAGAACACAGAACACAAGACAAATACACGGGGTTAGGGGAAACGAAGCAGGAAGAGAAATGACGGTAATGCCGTGTTCACCAAGTATGCAGCACAGCCCCTCAGGGTCACAGGCAATGTGACGTGTGGGAGCAAGTGGCAAAGACAGCTCCTAAGAATCCGGCCACAGGCCACCACTCCCCTCCCTGCCTGTTCCTTTAAGGCGTGGGGGTGACTTCATCTCCACATTACAAGAAGCAAGCCTAGACCATTGCTAGAGTTCTGCTTCCGGTCTTCCAAGTCCCAGCCTCTTAAAGGGCAAATTTCTCTCAAAGTCAACATGGAAAGAATGGGAATCCAATCCTGTAACAGGTTGAAGTCCTTTGCCCTTTCCCAAAGGACAGAGTTGTCCAGAGCTGGTTCAACTGTTATGGGGACAGAACTTTGGGCTATTTCTTTTGTAATAAGAGCAAACGTGTTTGCTGTGAGTCGGCACTCCCTTTCATGATTATCCTCATGGTACAAAAGAGGAAATTCAAGAGGTTATATAACTTCACAGCGGGTTGAGGAGAGCCAGCTCTGCACACGGGCAGGCTACCCCAGAGCCTCCCTTCTGCCCAGGCATACCCAGGCAGGCTGGAGGAGGGGAAACCTCCCTCCCTTCTCTGATCCCTCCTTGTCTTGAAGCACCTAGGCCAGCGGATCTCAACCAGTGGGTTGGCCGCCGCTCTGGGGGTTGAACAACCCTTTCACAGGGGTCACGTGCCAGATACCCTACATGTCAGATATTTGCATTACGATTAATAACAGTAAAATAACAGTTATGAAGTAGCCATGAAAATCATGTCACGGTTGGGGGTCACCACAACATGAGGAGCGGTATTAGAGGACCTAGGCAAAATGGGTTGAGGGTGTGTATTTTTCAAATATACCAATGGAAAGGGGAGCTGATGAAGAGATATTCAGTGTGTGTGTATGTTTGTGTCTGTCTGTCCACCCTTTTTAGGCGTGCATTCTACCCCCGAGCTACAGCCCTCAAGAACCTTGAGAGGTAAGGAGACAAACGGAAGGTTAGCACAGGAGAAATCTGAGATGGAAAAGAAGATTAGGTAAACAAGGTTGCCGCCAGGCACACACCACCTTTTAGTGTTTGGTGGCCACGCTGTGGTAACTTGGTAAAGCCTGGGATCCACAGTGGTACTTAGAGCAATATTTACAAGCTTAGGGTTTATTTGTTTATTTTGAGGTGAAGTCTTGCTGTCTAGTTCAGGCAATCTTGAAATTCTAGATCCTTCTCCCCCATCTTCCTCAAAACTGCTTACCCACTGTGAAGATTGATTTTATTTCTAATATAAAGAAGGCATTTTATATCTGTGTGTGTGCGCCCGTGAGTGTGTGAGTGTATGTGCGTGCAGAGGCCAGAAGGTGTTGTATCTTTTGAAGCTGGAGTTACAGGCGTTTGTAATCAGCCTAACATGGGTGCGAGGCCCCGGGCTCTGGTCCTCTGTAAGATCAGCAGACACTTTCAACTTCTGAGCCCTCTCAGCTACCAATGGTTGATCTTAACATGGTCTTGTGTCCAGTGGCATGTCCCCTGCAGAGAGAGGAAAGCTGGAGCTGAGCCACAGTTGAGTGAGTGAAGTCACCAAGAGGCAGGGAGGGGGTTTGCTGAGCGCTGTAGCTCTGTGGATAGACTGCTTGCTTTGTGTGCACAAAGCATTGGGCTCCTTCTCCAGCACCACAGAAATACGATATGGTGGCCCTCAGCTGTACTCCCAGAATTTGGGAGAAGAAACCAGAGCTTAAAGGTCACCTTCGGATAAGTAGCCAGAGAGTGTGAGGAGAGAGGGAAAAGAAATGGTGTGAAGAATGAAATTTTTAGGGCCTCAGTCAATCGGACTGCCAGCACAGCACCCTCTAGTGTCCCGAAGAGTCACTGCATCTTTGAATGTGGACTAGAGCTGTAAGTAAATCTTCAGTGACTCAGGGTTTACTTGGTGTTCCAGCTGTTACTTACTCTAAGCTTCAATCTCCCACTTCCCCAGGCCGGATGTCCAGGCTTACCCTGGCTGGTCGTAAGCTAGGGAAAAAGTGAAACCAGGCATCAGTGTACGGAGTTTTGCCTCCTGATATCATTGAGAGGGACGGTGGGCAAGGTCCTAAGTTAGAAACAAAACCAGTGGTCATTAGCTCCACTGAAGTTAAAGGTTTTTTTTTTTTTTGTTTGTTTGTTTTGTTTTTTCAAGACAGGTTTTCTTTTTGTAGCCTGCCTCTGCCTCCCCAAGTGCTGGGACTAAAGTCATGCGCCACCATGCCTGGCTGAATGATTTATTTTTATGTGCATTGGTGTTTTCTGTTTGTTTGCTTGGTTGGTTTTGTTTTGTTTTTTTCCTGTGCATATGTCTGTGTGAGGGTGTCAGATCCCCTGAAACTGGAGTTATAGGCAGTTATGAACTGCCATGTGGGTGCTGGGAAATGAACCTGTGTGTTCTGGAAGAGCAGCCAGTTCTCTTATTCACTGAGCCATCTCTCCAGTCCCTTAAAAAATATTTACTTATTGTGTGTGTGTGTGTGTGAGAGAGAGAGAGAGAGAGAGGAGGAGGAGGAGGAGAGGTGGCTGGCATGTGGAGGTCACTGGACAACGAGTGGGAGCTGGTTTTCACCTTCAGTCACATGGGTCCAGAGATCAAACTCAGGTTTTCAGGCTTGTCCAAAAGCCCTCTTACCTGCGGAACCACGTCGCTGGCCAGGAAGGTGGAGTGCTTTAAGCAGAGGCCCCTTCAGGGCAGTCTGCATGGAGGCCCACCTACTAATTGCCCCACACAACTGTCAGCTCTTTCTGTCACCCGAAGAAGAAAGGGCACTGTCCGTCAGAACTGCCGGAGGCACAAGGGAAACTGTTCTAAGTGTCGGGGAAAGCCAGGCTGAGCCCTACTTAATCCCCTGTCTGGCGACAGGATCTTGAACCTAACTCCCTAACCTCAGGTTTCTCATCTGTAGGCTCTGGGCTGTGGTAAGCCAGAGCTGAAAGTATTCTACAGCAACCGCTGTAAACATTTCACATTGCCCTCTCCCTCTGGTTCTTGTCTGCCCACAGAGAATTAATACAGTAAACACTTGGATCTGGCCACTCTCGGTCCTTCCTCCTTGTCAACCCTGACTTAACTGTGGCCAGGTAACCACAGAGAAAGGGTTAGTAAGCAAATTCTTTTCTAATACTAGCTGTGAACACCAAAATCAGTCAGGTTGCTTTATGCACTAAAATGCAGGCCCTTGTGTTCTAAAGGGGCTCCTAAAACTCCGCATGGAGGTTTTAGAAGAGATGCCTGGGTATCCCGTGTGCTGAAGTAAAGGGAAAGCAGCGGCAGCAAGGACACCCTCCCACCTGTCCAATCCAGCCTGTAACTCCCTCCTTTCCCTGTAGGAACAGGCCAGAGCAAACAGATGTGTATCTGAGAACATGATCGCTAGGATGAAAAGCTCCAGTGAGGAAGGCAGATCTAGAAACGCAGCGCAGCTCAGACACCCTTCGTGCACGGAACCACATCCAGCACACTTTTCTTAGTCCTGGGCACGTAGCTCCAAAGGTGTGCTGAGCAACTACAGTGGCCTCCCGCAGCGTTGACAGTTGGGCTTTGATTGCGGGGTGGTTGGCAGTTTTCTGAGGAGGGGACCCAGCTTCAGAACAGTCTGTGCTGTTTGTCACCGTTATACACTTTCCTATCGTGTTTGGAGTACGTTGTGCATGCCATCATTTGGGCCAATGGCTCTGTCTTGAACAGTGTGGTGAAGAGCAGGACAGGCTTTCTAGCAGGCCGGGTGCTCCCCTTTAGTGCTCTCGGGTAGCAGCAGATGCTTTGAACTGGCATTCTGGGTATAATTAAATGAAGCTCCAGGTGACTATTTTATAAGTGAAAAATGTAGGGACAAGTTATTATGCATACTAAACAACCTTCTCTTTTATTTCAGGAGAACTACCCAGTTCCCGAACCTGGCCCAAATGGTAGGTCCTTGGGAAACTGACCTGACATGTGCATTGATCCCTGCCCCTCTTTTCCTACTGGTTGACATGTTTACTTCTTTTTTTGTCCATTGGCTAAAATGATTTATTTTGGCTACCGTATGAAGTAAAAGAATCAGTGATATGAGGAGAAAAACTAAGATGCCAGACTGCTGAGTTGCCCTGGGTTTTTGATGTGAATCATATGGACCAAAGGCAGAACCAACCCTTCTTACCTAACAAGCAAGTACCCTGTTTACCAGATTAGATGCCAAATCATAATTCTGGTTCTAGAAATCTACAGAACTAAATCTCATAGTTAGCGAAAGAGCACGGCGTTAGCACACCGAAGAGGACCAGCCCAGAGCTATCTACCTGTCCAGTCATGGTGGGAGGGGCTATGGGAAGTCCTGTCCCTTCCCCTAATCAACCGAGCACAGAAAGTGACTGAGCATCTAGGGGCAGGGTTCCTGGCACCTTTGCTCCACTCCGGGCCTCTCGGTGGGTGAGCCCACTGGGCTGAGCTGTCATGTAGGTTTCCTGGTGGCATCCAGACCTGGGGAGGTCATGCCCACTGTTGGCTAGGGTAGAGTACCCCATCCCAGAATCCAGGTCATCATCTGTAGGATTCCTGGGTGAGGCTAGGGACCAATGGACAGAGTCTTCGGTCCCTCAGATTCCTTTGCTCTCCTTGATGACCTGGGATGTCCTCCCCACCCTGCCATACTTCAGCCCAGAAGCACAGATTCTGGGCAAACGTCAGATTGAAGGAGGCTTTGTTGGTAACTCCAGAGCTTTGCCACTCAAAGGTCAGTGGCATTGTTGACTTACAGTGATAAGATATGAACAACAGCTATTCCTATCAGTGCGTAGCAAGCAATGCAAATTTAAGGGCTTAGACATTTTCACGAAGATATCATGTTCAGGGGCCTGGAGGAGGCGCCTCACTGTATCCTGACAAGGTGGCTTTGGCTGCAGAGGTGGCCCAGGAAGGGCTTTCTTGGTCTGTGAAGGGTCCTCTCTGACCCAGCCTATTCTGATTCTTTTGTCTGTTGCTATAGTTGAATGGGAAGAGAGTAAACTGGAAAGCTAGTATTCCAGCAAGACAGGTCTCATCTCTTGCTATAGAGAAAACTTAGCATTTTCCTGATTTCAATAATGTTTCTCTGTCTTTGATTTCAGAATTCAGCCTGCCATTCCTAATTTCTCAGTAAAAACCAAGGGCAAAGACAGTTCCTCAGAGACATATCTGGGGGATTTTGCTGGCAATTTGCAGATATGTCTGAGTGCGTAGTTAGTGCCCTTAGCTTCTTTGTCTTTTGAAGATGGAGTTTTGTTGTTTTTTTTTTCCTCAGGGAGGTACTCATAATGTCGTCATCTAGGTCAGACGGAGCCCAGAATCCTTTGGTACTTATTTGAGCTGGGAGGCCCACTGGCCTCATTATTTTAAACTTGGACTCCGGACAACAGAAACACCACCAAACCTCACTTGATTCAGTCCCCTGAAGGGTAAGGGTAAAGGGTAACTTCACTTACAGGAAAGTGAAGTTTAAACTGTACCTTTTTAGAAAACAAGGAACAGGAAGAACTTAACCTGGCAGCTCATCACGCAGTGGCAAGCAGAGATTCTCAGGATGATAAGAGTCAGGCTCAGCTCAGTATTTGGGAACGGTTATCTCCTGCAAAACAGTTCGTTCTTTTAAATGGCTGACACAGTGCTTTCTCCTCATAATATCTTGTTTACAGTAGGATTGGCCAGGCTCTCCAAACAAACAGACCAAGTAAGATATATGTATATCTACAGAGGGAAGGGAGAGGAGAAAAGGGCAGTTTATTTTATGTTGGACAACTAACTCCTGTGATTGGGCGGTCTGGAAAGCTCTGAGCTTGCAGGGCAGGGTATTAGACTCAGGCAGGCTTCCTGTGTAGTAGTCTTCGGAAAGTTTTGCCTTCGGTCTTCTCCCAAGGCCTCTAAATGATTGGTTGAGGCCTACCTGCTTAACGGAGGACAATGTCTTCCACTCACAGCCTATTGATGTAGATGCTAGTTGTGCTGTAAGACCCTTCACAAGAAACCCCACCTTATAAGCAAAGTCTGCATGGGTGTTTGACCAAATATCTTGGAACACTAGCCCAGCCTAGTCAACACGTCCTTACCCATAACACTCTGTTCCTTTGCTCTGTTCAAGCTGTTCCGTGTCTTCCTAGGCTTAACTGGGTCCTCTGTTTAGCTTATTTTCTTTTATAATCTCAGTTTTGTACCTGCATCTGAGAACCCAGATCTCTCCCCTGTCCAGAGGGGAACTGCTATTGCTCCTGAGAGCGACGGAAGGTCTGCCTTTCTCTCACCTGTTTTCTCTGTCTCAATTCTCTAATCAGAGGTGCTACTGAAAATGCATTCTGTGGGCATCTGCGGCTCCGATGTTCACTACTGGCAGCATGGCCGAATTGGAGATTTTGTTGTGAAAAAGCCAATGGTGCTGGGGCATGAAGCTGCTGGAACGGTCACCAAAGTAGGAGCGATGGTGAAGCATCTAAAACCAGGTCAGTGTAAATGTCTGTGAGGGCCTTCCCTGGGCCAGGCTCTCAGCTAAGCACAGAGATACAGCAAACAAGAGAGTGTTGGGTCCCTACATGCAGCGACCTTACCTTCTGCCTGGGAAGGGGGCACAGGCCTGGGACAGAGAGCAGGTTCTTAGTCATGGTGTGTGATGAGGGCTGCAGCAGTGATCAGCATGTCTTGTCTAGAGCCCTGTCACCTTTGAAAAGATGATGTAGAATGTGAAATGAATCACAAAAGGGAGGTTGCTAAAGTGTTTCTGTCTTATAAACTACAGACTGCTTCCAAAGACTAAGAATCAAGACCTTCTTGATTTTACTTTTAATTATTCATTTACTTTCGAGACAGTACCTCACTCTGTAGTCTATGCTGGCCCAGAACTCACTCTGTATGTGACCCGTGTTGGCCTAGAACTCTTTATAGTCCAGGCTAACCTCTATTTCAAGGTGATCCTTTTGCCCCAGCCTCCAGAGTGCTATTATTAAAAGCATGAGCCAGGTGTGAGTCTATTCCTGTGTAAGCATACTGCACAAGATTTCTTCAAGTAGCCTTGGCTCTCCTAGATCTTACTCTGTAGACCAGGCTGGCCTTGAACTCAGAAATCCACCTGCCTCTGCCTCTCTAGTTGCGGGGATTAAAGTCGTGAAGCACCACTGTCCAGTGGCGTGCTCTTTAGTCACTGAGTATCCAAAGAGATGCAAAGTGCACAATCGGCTTTCCCAGGAGAGAGCTATTCCAACCCCAAACCCTAGAATCTTTGCATTAGGAAGATCTTGATCTTCCTTTCTGATAGAGGCTCTTCTAGTGTTCTAGCATAAGAATAGCCACACAAACCACTCAGACTTTGGTCTCAGTTTGTTTATTGGAACACCTTTTCCAAGCTGATCGATCAGGGCCACAGTAAGGACTTGAGAGCCTAATTGTGACATCTACAAGTTCTCATAGCAGGGTTTTTATAGAAAGAACCAAACAACATGGGGAGGGCAGTAACACATTTTGGCTAACTGTACAAAGCAATTTTATGGTTTTGGCTAACTGGACAAAGCATTGTCAGCTAACCTTTAAGCTTATAGGTCCTAAGTAAGGTAAGTGAGGCAAGGCCTAGGGTCTTCTATAGTACACCCAGAGTGTAGACCGGTGTGTAGATAAAATGGGTGCAACCAGAATGTAGCCAAGTGAATAGATAACAAAGTTATCTATTGAATCATATACTATTGAATCATAGTAAAATACAAGATCAGCTATGAACAACCACTTCCAGGAAGCAGAGTTGAAAAGTTTAAAATTGCGAGCTTAATTTCACCTTAGAAACAAAATGGAAGTTGAATATGAAGATGGCTGCATCTTTGTCTCAAATAGCAGGCTATAACACTAGCTCAGTTGGCTTCCATCTTGCTATGTAAGGTCACCAAAGATGACCTTAAAATCCTGGCTTCCTGTTTTTACTCACTCAGCTTTTATCTCAGAGGACAACATAGCTTTAGCAAGGCTGAGCTTTATATCCAACCTTTAAGATAGTTAACCAACTTGTCTTTCATTCCAAAATTTCCGTTTTATTTAAACAGTATCTTTTATTTATTCTGTAACAGTTTCATGCACATAAATGAATTATTTCTTCCACTTTTCCCCAGAACCCAGCAATCCTCAACTTGCTCCTACTTTGTGTCTTTGCCTTTTTTTTTTTTTTTAACCAGAGTCCAATTAGTTGGACTGTTGGAATGTTGACTAATCATGCAGGTAACCATAACTGTTAGTTTGTGAGTGCAATAGCCATGTCATGCCCAGACAGCATTTCACAGCGCTTCTCTTTATATACCGTGTCTCTTACATTCTTTTTCCAAAACGATTCCTGAGCCTTGTGGTGCGTGGTTGATTTAGATATCCCATTCAGGGATGAACACTCAATAGCCATTTGTTCTCTGCACCTGGACCAGTTATGAGTCTCTGTATTAACTGCTAACCACTTGTAGAGAGAAACCTTTTCTGTCCAAGGTGGAGGGTGGCACTATGTGTCTAAATATACACATTTAAAAGGTAGCTTGACAACACATCTGTTTGGCATGACAGCTGGTAGGTATCTCCCTGGGGCCCGTCTTTGAGTTTTGTTAGATGGCTAGGGAAACAATAGTCTAATAAGACCTAGAGCGATTGTCCCACAGTTCTCAGACGCAGCAGCCTACATTGTCCCCCGGCACAATGAACTGTCTTGGCATAGGTAGCTGTTGGTAGCAACCTTCCCTTGCTTATTGAGGCCGTTGATGACTGAAGCCTGGAGATGACTTTAGATTAATTGGGGGAAGCTGGGGTTTGGCAGGAGGTGCTGTGAAATGTTTCAGTCTCTGAGCCCAGACATAGGGAGGGATTGGTAATCTTAGAAGTTAAACATGTCTCATTTAGGATTCTTAAGTCAAGACCTCTACTCACTGTTACTGCCAAAAAAAAAAAAAAAAAGCATTGGAAAAAGCCTGTGGTAATACAGGCTCATCTCAAAGCGGAAGGCTCTTATCTTCCTGCAGCCAACCAACAACTGATCACTTCCTGTTGGACCAGGTCCTCTAAGATCTAACAAGTACTTAATCAATGTCTGCTATGGGTTCAGACTTGGGTCAGGTGCTTTGAGAAATGAAAAAAAGAAAAATTGTGAGTCCTGGATTCATAGATCTGGTTAGGGAGACCAGACATTAGAACTGCCAACAACACCAATAATTGGAGGGGGGAAAAGTACATAGTCAGGGGTCAAAGAAAGGACATGGTGAGCAGAGGTGGTTAAAGAAAGTTCATAGATAAGTGGAGCAGGATATATGACAAGAATAATTACAAAGGAAGAAGAAAGCTTGTATGTATTGGCTTGCTGTTCATTGGCTTGCTGTGATACCAACACATTTAATGCTTGAGACAATGCCATGGGGCACACTTTATTACCTTTATTAATAGAGTCAGACACTGGAATGTGGTTCTTGCCCAGGGCCACACACTGGCTGGTCTCAGAGTTGGCTGGAATGCCACCCTGTTCCATCTGGCTCAAGAGCGAATGTTTGAACCAATGAGTCGCCTGTCATCTGAGATTTGAGAAGGTTTTGTTTTTGAGTTAGTGAGGCAGGTCAGACCCATAAAATGACACAGGTCAAGTAATGTGTCTTGGTTCTCACACATGTATTCTCAGAGCAGATGCTTTCCACTGGGGAGTTGGGGGAGATGATAAACATGCATAGCCTCTCTTCAAAGGACTCTCCAAATGAGAATTGCCATTTGTCACAATGCAGTGATAACCAGGAGGTAAAAATGGCAAATGCAAAACTCTACCTTGAATGTCAAGTTGAGTATATTATCCTTAACGGTGGGTATAAAGAAGTACAGGTGGGAGAAGCTGAGGGGGTCAGACGAGTTGAGAGCTACATCTTAAAAACCACTGGTAATTTTTTTTTAATTTTATGTTTTTATTTTAAAAATTTTATGTGCATGGGTGTTTTGTCTGAATGTGTATCTGTATACTACTCTACTCACATGCCTGGTGCCTGCGAAATCCAGAAAGAATGTTGGATCTCCTGGAATTGGACTTGTCTGGATCTGTGAGCTGGGAATTAAAGCTGGGTTCTCTAGAAGAGCAGCCAAAGCTCTCAGACTCTGAGCTATTTCCCCAGTCCTCCCCCCAGTTCCTTATAATGGCAAAGATAGATGTGATGCAGACAACACTCTCAATTTAAATGAGGAGTCAAGATACTCATAGACATTGTCTGGAAAACAAGAAATAGCCAGTTGTCCACCAACAAACTCTCTGTGCTATACTCACAGGATGGACTGCCATTCAGTCACAAAGAGGAATAAACAATTGTAACATGCATCAACCAAAAAACTTAATGAAAAGCCAGATACAGAGCACACGCCATGTGATTGCCATTTTTTCTTTATTATTACGATTTTTATTAATTACAGTTTATTCACTTTGTATCTCCCCTACCAATCCCACCCGCCCTCCCTCCTCTCCGCCCGTGCCCCTCCCCCAGTCCACTGATAGGGTGGTTGTCATTTTTAATATTGTATAACCAGAAGTGCTAATCTATGTCAAACAAACTCAAAATATCAGGTGTCTTAGGGGTCAGGATGGAAGCTGCCTACGAATGGACACAAGGATGAAGCTTCTGAGACAACAGCACTGTTCTTAGTCTTGATGAAAGTTTTCCTCCCCGAGGAGAATATGTCTATCAAATTCATCTAATGAATCACGGAAGATGTAAGTGGTTCGTTATACTTAAATTCAATTTAGACAAAGAAGTATAAACTGTTTAGATTCTAGTAAATGATTAGCAGCCTACTTGAAATTCATTAGTAAAGATGGAGGGGCTGGAGAGATGGTTCAGCAGTTAAGAGCACTGGCTGCTCTTTCAAAGAACCTAGGTTCAATTCCCAGCACCCACATGGCAGCTCACAACTGTCTGTAACTCCTCTTCCAGGGGATTCAGCACTCTCTTCTGGCCTCTGAGCACCCTGCTCATCATTTGACTCCTAGTTATTGTCTAAACTAGAAAACATGAACCAGGCCATGACAGTCTTTTTTTTTTTTTCCGTTGTGGGGGGAGGGATTTCGTACAATATCCTCTGATCACAGTTTCCCCTCCCCAACTCCTCCTACAATTGCCATTCTATTTTTAGAGGCCTCGCCCCATATGTTCACAAGTGAAGAATGAAACGTTTGCCCCCTCTGTGTAGCAGATAACACTTTGTGACACGTTGAGACAGGAGAGCCTGCTGGGACGTTTTAGAGAGATAACGGTTTGTGTTTCCCAGGGGACCAGGGCAAGCTGGTTTAGCACGAGACAGGCTAACCCTCTAGAGTGGGCTGGCCCTCGCTCCCAGAGTGAGAATCTTTGCTGGGTTGTATGTCTCCTTCAGAAGCACCGGGACAGCTGGGCATGGTGGCTCACATCGCTATCCCCGCACGAGGAAGCTGAAGCAGGGGCAGGGTTGCTGAGAGCTGAGGACCAGCTTGGTTTGTGGGGTGACATGGGCCTCAGTGAGATAGGGTGGGGAGGTTAGAGGAAGGGGGGAGGGAGGAGAGAAAAGAAGGCCCCAACAGGCTGGCCTTGTCCAAGGCACCAGGATTCCCAGAGGAGAGGCCCTTTAAGCTGAACTCCCCCTCCCGGCCTCAGCCCGTGAGGGAGCTCTTGTTTTCAAAGGTTGGAAAGAAGAACCAGACCCAGCAGGAGTGAGGCTCTGCCTCTGTTCTTAGATGCGGCATCCTCTGTGTTCTCCTCTCCAGGTGATCGGGTGGCTATCGAGCCTGGGGTTCCCAGAGAAATAGATGAATTCTGCAAGATCGGCAGATACAACCTGACGCCGACTATCTTCTTCTGTGCCACGCCCCCCGATGACGGAAACCTCTGCCGCTTCTACAAGCACAATGCTGATTTCTGCTACAAGTTAGTGCCTAAGCTCGCTGGACTCCCTTGGGAGTCCTTTTCCATTGGTTAGATTTTCCTTCTAGTTCCTCACAACAAGCATCTTCTTTAACACACACATACACACAAACACACACACACACACACACACAATCACACACACACACACACAAGGATACATACAAGGATACATATATATGAGAAGGGGAAGAGATGAGATTCGCTATGGAGTCCTGACTAGCCTCAAACTCACAGAGACATATAAACCAGGGTAAGTAACTTAAGACTCAGATCTGCCTGTTTCATGGGCCACCACACCCAGCTCAGCCTTAACTTTAAATACAAGGCATTAAAGGCAGCCCTTCCCTTCTTGGTGGCTTTGAGGGAAGGCAGCCTGCCTGAGTCTCATCTTTCATCTCAACTTCCCAGTACCTGGAGCAGTAACAGAAAATCATCGCCAAAATCGCCACCTCTTGCATCTATTCTGAACAGAACTTGTCATAACTAACTCTTTATTTCCCTGCAGCCACAGAGAGGAAAATTATGGTTAGGTGTGGTATCACACCCTTTTTATACCAACACTCTGAATACAGAGGCAGGCTTGGTCCATGTAGGTAGTACAGGCCTGCCAGAGTTGCATATTGAGACCCTGTCTCAGAGAGAAAGAGAGGATGGCGATGAGGAAGAGGAAGAGAAAGAAGAGGAGGAGGAGCAGGAGGATTAACTATAACAAAAGAGGCCTCTGCATCAACCAGCACCAATGACAACACTTTAGAGCCTTTTCCTGAGAAGCCTGAGTGTGGATCAGGACCTGAGTCCTGGCATGCTAGGTCCATTCCCTCCTTGTGACTTGGAGGAGATGATTTGACCTTCTGCTTCTGTTAGCCAGCAGAAGACTAAATTAGGCAATGCATGGGAAGTCATAATTATTACTCCATATTTGTGCTTGTATATAATCAGGCTTTGCTGCCTAACTAATAATGGATAACAATGGGATGGGAACCATTGCTGCAGCTGTATGCCAGCCTTAACTGAAGCAGAAGAAAGCTAATGAACTCAGGCACAGAGCACAGCCACAGTGCAAACCGCCCTTCCCATGCCTGGAACAGTCTTGGGTTGAGAAGCTGTGTCTAAGAGAAGCAAAATGCAACATAATTCACCATGAAACCCTAGGCTGCTGGCATGTCATTCCTCTCTTGCCAACCCAAGTGTTTTCCTTCTGTCTAGCCTGGTCCCAGAGGCAGCTCTCAACCAGTATGGGGCTTATGTGACAGGGACAGGAATGTGTCAAGGGCAGGGATGGTCTGATGGATCTAATTGAGGTGGTTTTTGTTTTGTTTCTAAATTTTTTTCACTTTTGTTTCGGTTTCTTCTTCCTCCTCCTTCAACAAGATCTCACCACATACCCCAGGCTGGCCTGTAACTCACTATGTATTCCTGGCCAATGTCAAACTCACAGCAATCCTGCTGCGACTGCCCACGTTGCTCAAGTTGCAGACACGAACACCACAGCTGCCCAGAGCTGAGAGTTTTCTAGTTCTCCCTGCAAACTTAGAGAAGAGACATAGGCTAGAGGCCTTGGGGTGATGATGGGCCAATACCCATCCAACACTGCTCTAGAAGAAAGCAGCTGTGTGGGTTGGATATGCCTTTCAGCAAGGGATTCCTGAATCAGCTCATTTTTTCTGGCTCCTTTGCCAAGTCAAGCCTCAAGCAGCCGTTCGTGGAACACAGTGGTAAAGCTCAAGACACAACCCTGCTCTCTGAGGTTGGCTCACTGTGTGACCTTGACCAAGGTCTCTAAGGTTTAAAATCAGGGTAGTGTCTCCCTCACAGAACAGCTGGAAGAATGCAATGATTAGATTATAGATTATACTGAGTGCTCCGCATAGCACATGACAGATGCTCAGGGATGATAAGGTAGGCCTTAGCTTAGTCTTGTGGTCTGAGGGTAGAGGTCTAGGACGAGGCCTGAGAAGGGGGTGTGTCTGGGATAGGCATGGCAGTGGTTTGTGAAATGGTGAACAGGGTGTGGTGGTGAATGATATTCTGCTCATCAGAGGTTCTGGCAGATTTGAGGAGAGCCTGTAGGGGCTTCTGCCCTTCCTTCAAATCTTCCTTAAGCCTTTGCTCTGCCCCAGCTTCCTCTCTGATCCTGTTTCTGAGGACTCCTACACTGCCACTGCCTCTGCATTTTCTACCCCAGATCTTCTGGCATTTAGCTCTCTCCTCTACCATTTTCTCTGTCTCCTGAACCTTATTGTAAATCCCCTCCCCAAGGTTGCCTGTCCTGATGATTGTAAGTTACAAAAGGCTCAGGAAGGAAACCCTTATCCTGCCTGTGGTCAGTGCTGCTCTCGGGCTTCTGGTCTTCTGCCCATTTGCCTGGATCCCTGGCTCCCAGCTAGGTGTGAGGAGACAGACCTGAATGACAGAACACTCAGACTGTGGTCCCTCCCTCCCCTTGTGTTCCGACCTCACTTCTTTTTGGTGTTCTTATTCTACAGAGAGGTTGGAGAGAGGGGAGAGGAACAGTCAGCTTAGATCCATTTCTTTCTCTGGGAGAATGTGAAGGGGCAGGATGTCGTGTTAGACAGAGAGAGAGAGAGAGAGAGAGAGAGAGAGAGAGAGAGAGATGGCCTTTGAGAGTTTAGCAATCTTCCTTGTGTCATTTTTTTCCCCCTTATACAGAATGTGCCCATAGGGTGATCAGAGTATGGCTTAGAGTGTGGAGCATGAAGCAAGAGATGCAGAGGCCTTGCAGTTTGTTCTGTAATGAACAGGAACAGTGGCCAGAGGATGTTGGGGTGAACACAAGTCCAGCTGCCCTGTTAATTTCTGGGTGGGGGGAACTTGAAGGTGTCCACATTTGTAGGTGTTTCTGGGAACCAAGTAAACATTGGATAACAAGGAACCAGTGGAAACATAACAGGAGTCTCAGAACCACTTGTGTCAAGAGGCATTTGATGTGGGCCGGATGAGGGCAATCAGGGCTCCTTGGCTTGAGTCTTGCAGTCTTATCACAGCTTAGTTTTACCCTCTGAAGAATAAAGGTGATCATAGAGCCTGACTGGCAGGGTTGTCTTGAGGGTTAGATAAGATAATGAGTGAGAAAGCATTCTAGCCTGCCAAGCCTCCTACAAACACCAATGGGACTGTGGATGCAGCTGAGATGGCAGCAGGTTCACTGAACTCTGAAGTGATTTCATCAAAGAAATTTTAGTTTTCTGGGGGCAGAACGGCATGGCTTTTGGAGGCAAACATATCTGGCTTTCAATTCAAACCCTTTGAGCCTCACTTTGAACTTCTGAGATAAGTCATTGAACTCTTGCAGCGTAATTTCTTTCTCAGTAGGCTGGAGGTAATAGCAACTATGACGGGACTATTCTAACAGTGTGAGCAAATACATGTAAAGTGCTTGGCACGTTGCTGTATGTATAAGTCAGTGCTTAAATGCTACTTGTTGTTCTAGTACCTTAGGCAAACACAGTGTAGTACCAATGGCAGGACTGCAGTATTATTACCACACTATGACAGTGTAGTATTGATAACGTCGTCAGCACTGAGGAAGTCGAAGACCCTAACCATGGATGTTGGCTTACTTCTCAGGCTTCCTGACAGTGTCACCTTTGAAGAAGGAGCCCTGATTGAGCCTCTGTCTGTGGGGATCTATGCCTGCCGTCGAGGTTCAGTTTCTCTGGGGAACAAGGTCCTCGTGTGTGGAGCTGGTAAGAAACGGGGCTTGTGGCTGTGGGTTCACTGGTCAGCGATGTGGAGGTCCCTCCCCCATCTCATTCCCTCTCCAAGAGCTGGTTTGATTCTAGCCGCCTTCTGGGTAGAAGAGGGTTACAGTGCCTCGCTCAGTGATCAGCCCTTGGCTAAACAGAAAACATGTCTAAGGTGGATGTCGTGGCACACATCTGCTTCTCAGCACCTGGGAGGCTGAGGTAGGAGAATTTCTGTGTATTCCAGGCCAGCCCGGGCTACACAGTGAGACCCTATCTCAAACAAAACAAAACAGAACAAAACAAAAACAAAAACCAAGTAAAGGTCAACAAGCAGGGTAGGAGCCAGCATTAGGTTTCATAGGGAATGTAATCCTTTGTCCATTTAAGTAATAAATAAATCTTGAGAGAAAGTAGGAAAATATTTGGGGTAGTAAAGGGAAGAGTAACTTTTGGAACTTGCAAGTCACGCTGGAGAAATGATAGCTTTCTCCTCTGCAAAGGAAGTAGGGAGGCCCTGTGAACATGCTTGCACCTGTGTGCACACGCATACGTACCGCAAATAAGTGCAACAAGAGAACCATGATTCCGTGTTTTTATGTCAGGAGCTGCAGAGTTACAGCCTAATCTTTGACGCTGTACCGTTGCCTCCCTGCAGACATTTGAGGTATTATTTCCCAGCGTTCCGCTTTCTGTGGGAAATACGCAAGGTTGTTTTCAAGAGGGGTGTGTACAAAAAGAAAACTCAAAAAGTATTCCTTATTGCTTCGTTTTGTGAGGCTTTGTGTTATACCGAAACCACAGTGCCATCCAGCAAGCAAATACCAAAGGGGAGGGTGGGCCAACCCAGGGACCCACCTCAAGGAAGAGGGATGCTTGGAGCCTCAAGGAAGAATGTGACTCTCCCTGGGGAGGGGTGGTGAGTTCCCCTGATGTCAGAGAAGCACAGCCAGATCTTAGTCTCTGCTTCTTTGGGACTCTCTTTAGCAGTGCCTAAGAGAAAAGAGGCTATTTCTAACTGAATAATGAGGGATCAAACGGAACTTACTGCTAGGGACATGTTTCATGAAGAGAACAATCCTTCATTTGTTCACATCTGCATTCATGAACAGCTTTAAAAATCTTATTGTGTGCCAGGCACTTGGAAAGACCCTAACAACACAACAACAACAACAACAACAACAACAACACACACACACACACACACACACACACACACACACACACACACAAAACAGTCCCGTCAGGGAGGGAAAAATTGATGTTTGTAAACTTCTCTACTCTCTGCTTCCTCTAGGGCCAGTTGGGATAGTCACTTTGCTTGTGGCCAAAGCAATGGGAGCTGCTCAAGTGGTGGTGACTGGTAAGATGGGTTTCTTCTTCCTCCTCTTTTCTTCTTCTTCTCCTCCTCCTCCTCCTCCTTCTTCTTCCTCTTTTCCTCCTCCTGCTTCTACCTCTTCCTCCTCCTTCCTCCTCCTCCTCTTCTTCCTCTCTCTCTCTCTCTCTCTCTCTCTCTCTTCCTTGTTCCTTTGAGACAAAAACCTTGTGTGAACAAGGTTTTTCTGTGTAGCCCTGGCTGTCTGGAACTCACTCTGTAGACCAGGCTGGCCCTGAACTCAGGGATCTGCCTTTCTCTGCCTCCTGGGTGCTGGGCTCAAAGGTGTGGCCACCACACCGTAAGAAGATTTACTTCTATCCAAGTCTCCTTGAGGGAAACAGCTGGGTTTATGACTTGAAAGCAGCAGTGGGGCTCATTCTCTTCTGTTAGTCCCTTTTCTGTTGCCTAGAAAAGAAATGTCCGAGTCTGGTAACTTCTAAAGAGGTTATTCACTTGGTTGTTTCAGAAGACAGGAGTCTAAGACTGAGCCACCTCATTATTTTGGCCCCATTTCGGAAGGCGTGACAAATGACAGCAGCCTGTGGTGAAAACAGGAACACCAGATAGATCCAAACTTGTCCCTTCCTTGGGCAGTAGCCCCAGTGACCTCCTTGCACCAGTCCCACCTCTTTAAAAAAAAAAAATTAATGTACATTGTTGTTTTGACTGTGTGTATGTCTGTGTGAGGAGTTACAGACAGTTGTGAGCTGCCGTGTGCGTGCTGGGAATTGAACTGAGGTCTCTCGGAAGAGCAGTCAGTACTCTTAACCCCTGAGCCATCTCTCCAGCCCCTGAGTCCCACCTTTTAAAGACTGTACTACCTCAGAGCTCCATGCCGCAGAGCAAACCTTTGTGTGAACCTTTGGGAAAAATCCCAGCACTTTCTGAGGTACTGGTTTCTGAAGAGCTTCTGTCTGCTGTTTCCTGAGTTCTAGAGCCGAAAAGCCTGCCCAGGTGTGACCAGCTTAGGACTTTTGTGAAAGGGATAGATAGCTGCTGTGGAGAGGAGAATGTGGTCCCCCACACTACCCTCTTAATGCTAAGAGGAGGCTCAGCCTGGGTCGGTCTGACCATGCTTAGAAGGCAGCGATGCTGCGGGGGTGCATGTGTGTATGTCTGTGTGTCCATGTTCGAGAGTGTATACATGTGTGTGAGTGTGCGCGCATGAACCTGTGTGGGTGTGTAGCTATGTAGAACTGTGTAGTGTGTGTGGGGCTGGGTGGAGGTGTTCTGTGTAAGGAAATAAAGGGTGGCTATGAATGTGTGTGTGTGTGTGTGTGTGTGTGTGTAGCACACAGTAGGCTACATAGTCTATGAATGTGTGTGCAGCACACAGTAGGGGTAGAGGGTTTTTGGGTTCAGCAGCTTCACCCCTTGCACTGGAGATTGCTGCGTCAGGTCTCGTACTTCCGTTTTCTTTTCCTCCTAGTTGGTTTCCTGGCTTCTGCACTTGAAATTACGTCTGCTTACCTTTAGATCTATCTGCCCCTCGGCTGACCAAAGCCAAGGAACTTGGAGCTGATTTTACCATCCAGGTTGCCAAGGAGACCCCTCAGGAGATTGCCAGTAAGGTGGAAAGTCTGCTGGGGGGCAAGCCAGAGGTCACCATTGAGTGCACTGGAGCAGAATCCTCCATCCAGACGGGCATCTACGTGAGTGAGCGGAGGGTGCAGCCTGGGGGTTGGATGGAGGTGGGAAAGAGTAGCAAAAAGAGCAGCAGTGAGGAGATCAGCCATCAGGCTCCACCAGGCTGCTGTTTGACCCCCAGGCTGATCGGCTAAGCCCTCTGCTCTTGGATTTCTTGCCTTTTGTGTGGACTTGCCCTGAGCCCTCACTGGCTCATAATGAAAAACAGACACAAGATGGGGTTGCCTTTAGCACTGTGCCATTGTACGCCATGCAGTGCTCTTGGCAAAACCATCATGAGGACAAACAGGGAACCACGTCTTCGTAGGGTGGGAAATTCCTATGTCGTTTTATTGAGGAAAACTAGTCTTGGTGTCCTCGATACAAGGCAACAGTTATTAATTCAGTTAGTCACAAAGGTGAGGTAAAGTTTTCAAGGCCAAAGTTGGTGGTAACTGGGGTGCTGTCTTCCAGAAGTCGGAACAGATAAGAGGTCTATTCCTGATTCACCCCTCAAGGTTTCACCTCACTAGCAACTTACAGGAAACACAGAGGGAGTTGGGGTGGGGGAGGGTGTGGCATTGACAGAGCAAAGTACAAGGGAAGGAGGAAAACAAGCAGTCTAGTGTGCCAGCCAGACCTCTTCTGGGCGCTTTGTGAGCCTGACGCGTCTGCACCTTAGTCCTGAAATCAGTTCACACAGCGGCAGAGCCCGCAGGTTATAGTGTCCTGAGTCAGGGTCAAGAGTTGGACCCAGCCCAGCAGGCCCCAGTGCTTAAACGCTGGCTGGGAAGGAGCAGAGGAGCCACTGTGGTAGGACAGGAGGGCCTGAGCTGGAGGAAGGAGCTCCTGCCTCTGCCTTCTTGATGCTTCCCCACAGGCCACGAGCTTCCACTTTTCTTCTGAGTCATAGCCAGTTCACGCACAGGGCACTTTGCAGCATGTGAGATATTCCAGGAAGCAAAACCTCTATCTGCCGTGGCACACCCTCAGGCCTGAACCCCTTGCAGAGACATGCTTTATCCTGCCAAGATGCTCAGTGTCACAGAGGTAGTAGCAGGAGGGATGAGATGAGCAAGTGTCACTTGGCCCTATCCTGAGTTTCTGCTAGAGTCAACCAGCTCTTCTGTTCCACTGTCATAGCCAATGGTCTCCTGTGGGAAAGGGCAAAGATAACCCATAACTGAGGATGATGATGATGACTAATGGTGTGTCTTGGGTACCTCTTTGGTGCCAGGCTTTGTTTTAGACGCATTGCAGGTTATGACAGCAAGGAAGGCATGTCTACCAGCTTCGGGTGGCTAGTAGGCCAGTGACATCACACCACAGAGGGCCGGGAGACTTAATGGATGTGCCTGTCTTTCCTCCTCTGCCCTGATACCTGGGGAGAGATGTCACCTCCAGTAGTTGAGAGTGCAGACCAGTTGCTAAGGCAACCTGAGGATGGTGGAGAGGTGAATGTGATCTGAGGTATTCTTCAGGCATGAAGTAACATCTCTCCTGACATGGTTATGGAGCTATTTTGCATAACAGGAGCCGCACAAGGTATGGCAATCCTGCCAATGAGGGCAGCAGGCAGCTGTACCAAATATGGATGTATCACCTGTCTGCCTGGGCGGTGACTGGGTGCTGTTTGTGAGATGGAGATGCCGCTGGGTAGAACTGATAGAATCTCTTGGTATATCAACCACACCCACAGTGGTCAGGTAATCTGAGTATTCATTGGCCTGTGGTCAGCATACTGCTGGCCCCTGCTACTTGGAATAACCAGTGGGTTCCTTCTCATTGTCAAGGAGGGCAACTCCCAAAGGGGAAACCATTTTCTTGGAAAATGTCAGTCAAGAGTTTTCTGTGAGTCAGCTCAAAGCTTTGACCTCTCACCTGTCTCCAGTAGGGACAGCGACATTGTTTCCATTACACATACATCCCTGGATAGTTTGTAAGTGATTCTGCACCTCAACGAAAACATAAAACAGCCTCATTGAGCACACACTAGTGCCAAGCACAGTGATTGTTACCAGTGAGGTGCCAAGCCCAGGATGGAGCTGCTCAGAGTCAGCGCCAGGAGTGCCCTCACCCTGCTGCAGCCTGGCATGCCACCTCTCAGCAGGGCACTGCAGGCCTTCTCCATGGCATCTCTTACCCCTCCCTCAGAAGGGCCTTCCTGTAGCTCTTTATCAGAATGGTTCTGGTGTAAGTGCTGCTGCCATGTCTGACTATCATGGGAATTTTGTAGGACGGACTTGTCCATTTTTCTGTTTCTCACAGTTGGGAACATGGAATACCATAGGGCCAGGACATTACTTACATGGAGATATTACTTACCTGGCATTAATTATTAATATTAATTACCTGGCATGGAGATAGTCTCTCTCTGCTAACGTGCTTCTAGGAGGAAGGAGTGATTCACTGCAGTCTAATCTCATAACATTAGCAGAGGATTGGTTTTCCAGATAAATATTTAGGGAAGACAAAATCCATTATATCCAGTACCTTTGAGGTGAAGAATAAAATGCTTCCTGCCAGGCTTCACGGGTGAAGCTGTTTATTTATGTATGTATCTATTTATTAATTAATTTATTGTTATTATTTGCTTTTTCAAGACATGGTTTCTCTGTGTAGCCTCGGCTGTCCTGGACTCACTTTGTAGTCTAGGCTGGCCTCACAGAAGATCTCTGGAACTCACAGAGATCTGCCTGCCTCTGCCTCCCTGAGCACCAGGATCACAGGTGTGCAGCACGGCGCCCAGCCCAGGTTGAAGCGGTTTTTAAACCGCAGAGTTTAACAGCGTGTTTGTGTGGCAGCTCCTGTTTTCTCACTCCTGATGGGCTCAGAGTTCCTTATTTTCCTCAGGGTTCCTTATTTTCATCTTGATTTTTTTTGAGACGTGGGAGTCTGACTATGTAGCCCTGACTGACTTGGGCCCCCACTCTGTAGCCCACACTGGACTTGGCAATCCTCCTGCATCAGTTTCCTTGGTGTAGGGTACGCTCCCATGCCCACCTGATAGACTGTCCTAGCGTCTATTCTTACATCTCCGGATCTTTAAAGGGGGATTTTAACCCTGCTGCTCTGTTGGGTTCCGGTGGCGTGTTGAAGAGTTTGGCATTGTAGCGCAAATCATGTTCTCTGGACCGCCTGTATATTCTATATGTCTTGTTTTTATTTCCTCCTCAGGCCACTCGCTCTGGCGGGACCTTGGTGGTTGTGGGAATGGGCTCTGAGATGACCAGCTTACCCCTGGTGCATGCAGCTGTTCGGGAGGTGGATATCAAGGGCGTGTTTCGATACTGCAACACGTGAGTATGATGTTGAGGGTGACCCAAGGTGCCAGCGTGGCCAAGGCAGGTCCCACGCAGCTCGCGGGGCCAGGAGTCCCTGCCTGTTTATTCGTGAAGGGCACTCCTTGACCACACTGCCAGCACTCGATATGGTAGGGCTGCTAAGGGAACGTGTACTTCTTCCTCAGAGGGAGGATCAGCCTGGGAGGGGGGGGATTGGGATCTGCCACTCATCACCTAGGCCTTCCTCCTTTTTGTTTCCTCATGACTTCCCCTTCTGCCCTTTAAAGGGAATAAGGGGGCCTGTCTTGGGGGAGAGTCGCTTTTCACTCACCCCACTCACACTGCCCTGCTCCCCCCCCCCCCCCGGCCAGGATGCTCTGTGAGGGGTACACTTCCCTGGGGATGCCTCTCCCTCCCAGCTTAGAGCTCCATGCCTCCGCAGAGTGCCCTTTTTGTGTTAAACTCTGCCAAGCTGTGCTGCTAATCTGTGCAAACGGGTTATCTTGACCCATCCCGGGCTACCTCCCTGATGCCTACTGCATTTTCATACTGGCCTCCAAAGTATAACTTAGGCCTTCGTGCCGTGCCCAAGAACTTCTAGGCTTTGGGGGCCACACTGCAAAGCGAGGGAATAGAGGCATGGATGCGGCAACTGAAAATAGTCTCTGTACCACAGATTCCAAGCCACAGGCCTTCTGTTGCTCTGTAATAGAGACCTTGCAGAAGTTTCTGGGCTTGGTACTCTGGGGGAAGCTGACTTTCTTCCTGGAGGCTAATGAAATTCTTGTGATCTTTTTCAGGTGGCCAATGGCGATTTCCATGCTTGCATCGAAGACTTTGAATGTAAAACCTCTAGTTACCCACAGATTCCCTCTGGAGAAGGCTGTAGAAGCCTTTGAAACATCCAAAAAGGGAGTGGGGCTGAAAGTTATGATCAAGTGTGACCCCAATGACCAGAACCCCTAAATGTGAATTGATCTGGGCCCTTAGCACACCCTTTCGGTATCTAAGGGCTAACTGGCTAGGAAGGGAAGCCCTGGTGAAAAGCTTTGTTTTAAATTTTAAAAATCATTAACTCACTCATAATAAGCAGAGAGCCTTAGAGCAGTTGATGTGCCTTAAAGACAGAAGTAGGGACACCTTGGGGATCTTGTATTTAGAATGAGATGCTTATACTGAGGAGCACCTAGCGCAAAGAACTGAATTTGGTAGATAGGTGCCAGGAGCATTCATATTCGTTTAGTACCTTTGGGTGAGGAGACAAAGCATGCTTTCGGTGTCCATGCTCTGCTGTGGCTGCCAGAGGGTGGGGCTGACTTACGAAGAAACAACTCCTGTAAGATGGCAGTGGCCCCATGGCTGATCTTTGTCTTGATGAATGGTTATTGGCTGTCCAGAGGACGGTGTTTCTCAAGTTAAGCGTCATTTGGTTTGAGGGAAATAAGAAAAGGAACTTGCCTTCTGGATCCAGGACAAAAACCGATCAGAAGAATGAAACAAATCCCAGCTGAGTTTTCTCAACTCCTTAGCATTCTGTCATTACATTTGCAAAGTGGAGGATCACCTTCCCAACACTGTTCATTTTTGTTGAAGAACGGTACCAGTTGCTAGGCAACCATGAGACTTCTGGCTGAAGATCTTAAATATCCTGCCTAACTAGTACAAGAGGACCCCTGGAGGGCTTGAGTTTCCCCACTCACAGGATTAGAGTCCCTTCCCACGCTCACGCACAGGTGATTAGCCCCCCATTCCACTCAGCTCTGGCTCTCAGAAAATGTTCCCCTTCTCATAGCTGGGTAAGGCTGGTGATAGCTGTTGCATGGACGTCACAGAACTTATTTTCCTCATAGGGCTCTTCTATGTAAAATTCAGATCCAAATCACACCCTTAAGATAATCAAGATCATGTACACAGGAACTGCAATGTAACTTGGGCTGTAGTCTGTAATCCACCTCTTCAGCTGCGGGTACAGGACAGAGACGGCTGGAGAAGATGGTAGCCAACACCTGAGCTTTCTCAAACTGCTTCGTATAATAAAATCTGTCGCTGGTGTCGGACTCTGGCTGTGGTCGGTGTCCGCTTAGGGCGTGGACTTAGATCGCCGGAATCGCAAAGCTTTAGAGGGACACACTGTAACAACTTATAACCTCACCAACTGCTAGAAACATGTGGCAAATAATGAGTATCTTTCAGGTGGGAAAGGTAATTCCAAACAACACTTTTCTCCTCTTGCCCTTTGCAGGAGATAGGTTCATGAGATGTCTGTACACACACACACACTGAGCAGCTTGGCATCCATGCCAGCTCACTTCTCAGTCCTATTTAGCACCATACTCATCAGCTGCCTTCTCTGAAGGCATGGAGATGCTAGAAGTGTCTCCAGTCCAGGGATTCTCAGCCTCTGGGCGGCAACCCTTTTGAGGGTTGCCTGTCATGTAACCTGCACGACGGATATTTACAATTCCTCACAGCGGAACTACAGTTATGAAGTAGCAATGAAATAATTTCATGGTTGGGGGGTTATCACAACTTTGAAGACCTGTACTAAAGGGTCAGGACATTAGGAAGATTGAGAACCGCTGCTCTAGTGAATGAGGAAAGCCCCTCACCTTGGAAGACTTTAGATGCCTCAGGGAGGGCCAGATTTCTCTGTTAAATTCACAAATAGCCACTTTTCTTCTGATTGTGTCCCCATGAAAAGGAGGCCATTGAAAGGATTTGGAAGCCACCCAAAGGACAGGGACCACCAACAAAGACATGTCACTTTGCCTAAATTTGTGCTTGTAGTGGGTTTTCTAAGTTTGTGTTGGCACCTCCATTTTCTGCCTTCAGTTGGGCCTTGTAGGGGCCTGTGAAACCAATAAAAGTGGGTGGGCTGACAGGGCATAGCATAGCTGAGATGACCGTGCGGTGCTTGCCTGTAGTTGCAACGCTTGAAGAGCTGAGGTAGGGGGATCATGTCTGAGGCCAGCCCAATTTACACAGTGTTTAAAAAGCAACAAAGCCTCAAAATGGCTCAGTCCCGTGCCCATGTCCCCTTCAGCTCCCAAGCTCTAGCTTCCCACACACATGCCAGGGGCAGAAGGGCTGGAGTAGGTCTGTTCACTGAGCCACCAGCATGGTGAAGCACCACTGAGCTGCCGGGGTTCTCCCTCTACATCTTCATCCAGATGCACGTGGAAGGGGCTGCAGGAAGGTGTGAATTCATTCCCACCACCTCCACAAGGCACTCAGTGTTGACTGACTCCGTGAATCAGTCCCGGAACCAAGAAAATGAATTCCCCCGAAGATCCCCAGTGTTGGGAGGCCTGGCGGCCTCTGTATGCTCTCACCAGTTAGGGCATGCTTTCAGTCAACACAGAGGACCCCACCCAGTCGGCACTCCCAGCACTGCCGTGAGGTGGGGTTAAGGGTACAGAGCTGAGAAGAGGACCTGCAGTTAGCCTCAAGGGAGGATGGGAAGTAAGTCCCTGACACCCCCAAGGAGGCTGGTTTGCTGGCTCCAGCAACTCCATCTTTGGCCACAGCAGGTAGTGTCGCTTCTGGAGTCTTGTTTACTGGCTAGCTCTTCCTGGTCTCTCCTGTGTAGCACAGTCTTGCCTCCTGTTTTGCATAAAGGAGGCATGCTGGTAGTGAGGTCAGAGGTCAAGAGAAGGGGAAACATACAAGATGTGTTTTACCATTTGCCTTTTCCTCAGAATTGTCCCTGTTCCTGATGTCAGCCTCAGCTCAAAGTTCAGAAACCAAGACAGGGAAGCAATACTCAGGCAGCCAGCTAGGGCAGAGGTCCAGGCAAGGGCTACACCCTTGGTAGCAGACGGTTCCCTTTCTTCCCTGTCCCCTCCACGTACCAAATTCAAGGGCCGAGGGGAAGGTGCTGCAACTCAGCAGCTTGGTAAGATTGTGGCTTGCGGGGTGGGATGCACTTTCCAGACGTTAGCAGATGTTTCTCTGGTACAGCTGTTGCCATATTGGTGTTGCCCAGCCCCCCACGCCACCCCCTGCCTCCAAAGCCTCTGCACCTCACCTCCACTTTAGAAGCCCTAGCTGGGTCAGACTCAGTGTTCTTTCTCTGGTACCTGATAGCGTGTAGCTGGCGTTACCACCTCAGGACTGCTCGGTGCATCTTCCACCAGAGGAGATGCTTGTCTCTTGGACCCATCTGGCCTCTTAAGAGGCAGCGTGCCATAGAGGACTCACTTACAGGGGTGACAGGGATGTCTAAATCTTGGGCCAGCCACCAGCTCACTATGACAGTGTTCTAGTATAAGACTAGATGCACAGACCACTCAGGCTCCAGTCTCAGTTGGAGATATGGATGGTTTATTGGAAGGCCTTTTCCAAGCTGATCAATCAAGGCTAATCAGGTAAGGAACCTTCGGGAGCCCAGCTGTGACATCTACAAGTTCTCACAACAGGGTTTTTATAGAAAGAACCAAACGCAAACGACATAGGGAGGGCAGTAACCTGTTTTGGCTAACCATACAAAGCAATATTGCATTTTTGGCTAACTAGACAAAGTATTGTCAGCTAACCTTTAAGCCGATTGGTCCTAAGCGATGTAAGTGAGACAGGACTTTGGGTCTTCTAGAGCATATCCGAAGTGTGACCAGGTGTATAGAAGAAGGTAGCCAAGTGAATAGATATCAAGGCATGAATTATGACACTATTGAATCATAAGGTCAGCTATGAACAACCGCTTCCAGGAAGCAGAGCTGAAAAGTTTAAAATTTTGAACTTAATTTCACCTTAGAAACAAAATGGGAAGCTGAATACAAAGATGGCCGCATCTTTGTCTCAAATGGCAGGCTGCCACAGACACCAAGTCACTTCAGTTTCCAGTCACCTTTGTTTCCTCTTCTGCTATCTAAAGGATCATTCTGGACAGTCTTGAGGTCTCTTCATGCACTGATACATTGTGCCTGGGGAGAAAGAGTCCACGGGGAACTGTCTGCCAGGATTAACTGTAAGGGGCCTTCTCAGCTCAAGAACTGTATGAAAGCATGGCTTGAGGGAGGCAGAGAGTCAGAGAGGCAGAGAGGCCCAGGTTGGCGGAGGGTAGGGGGCGTTTCACATGGTAATGTCTGCATTAGGAATATCACCTTGTTTTGCATCTTGGCCTCAGGTTTGCAGTGTGATCCAAAAGCCCAGCGATGAGTGCAGACAGGTTGGGCTCGTCCCTGCTCTGTTGTGGTCACTGACATGTCTTCCAGTGCTCCACATAAGGCTGAAGGCAGAGGCACAACCTGGAAAGGGTAAGGGTGAAATCAATCGCTCTAAGGAGAGAACCATGCAAAGAAGATGGGCTTTTGGGGATAGTGGATCTAGTACCACTGAGGCATTGTGGAAATAAACCTCCCAAGGGCCAGCCCAGGCTTCTGTGAGTGATACTGAAACCCCCATGAGTCCTGCCTAAATCCTAGACCACAAGCTACCAATCCACATGGGCCTCATGGTACTCAGGGGCTCACTCATGGGCCTCTTCACAATTCTTGGATAATCACTCTCCATCTTGATTTTTGAGACACCATCTCTCCCTGTACCTGGAACTCACTGGTTTGTCAAGGGTGGCTAGCCAGCAAACTTCAGGAATCTTCACCTCCCCATCTTTGGGATTATGGAGCCTCAGTGTTGTATTCACTGCTTTTTACATGGATGCTAGATATTGAAATCAGGACCTCATGCTTACATGGCAAGCATTTTATCAAACGAGTAATCTCTGCAGCCTGTGGGTATAAACACCGATATTGAGACTAGGAACATCGTTGAGGTTCCAGGTTATGGTTTTTGTTTGTTTTTTTGAGGCAGAGTTTCTCTTTGTAGCCTTGGCTGTCCTGGACTCACTTTGTAGGCCAGGCTGACCTCAAGTTCACAGGGATCAACCTGCCCCTGCCTTCCTGAGTGCAGGGATTACAGGCCTGTGAGAGGAGGTGTGCCTTGGGAAGCCTTCAGGTAAGCTGAGGGTGAGGTCATGGAGTCACTGGCTAACTGGCTTCAGATCATCTTCAGGAAAATGGAGGCTTGATCCTCCACCATTGAAAACTTGAACATGTCACCATGTCTCTAGGCCTGAGTTTTCATGTTAATAGTCATCCCTTCCAGCTTTGCCAGGAATATGACAACCTGAAGGGGCTGGTGTAGGGCTCTAGGAAAAGCATCTCCGTCACTGTGGTGTGGTGGACCTCCATCAGTGAACTTGTACCAGGAGCTTCCCCAAACCCCATGCCCTCAATGGCATGACAGAGTGCTTTACCAGACCTTACTAAGTCACTGGGAAGAAGTAAGGGTCATACACGTAGAATGTCCCTTTGTCATTCTGGCCACTCTTTTATCGGCACAGCTCTGAGTACTGTGGACTTAACTGGATTAGGTATTAAGATGTTGATCTTATGGCCATGCTGCTCTTTACTCTCCTGCTATGTAAGTGTACTGAATGGTGTGTGTCTCTGGCCCCAAAGCATATATTTCAGGTCTTATCTAGTCTTATGAACACCAAAGGGAAACATCTCCCTTGTCACATATCACGTGGCATGGGACAGGGCTACCAGCCTCAAAGACATCAAGAGTTACTGATTCTTCTAGGCCTGGCAGGACAGCTCAGTGGGTAGAGATGCCTTCCACCATACCCTATGGCCTGAGTTCAATCCCTAGGAACCACACAATGGAAGGAGAGAACCTTCTCCTACAGGTTGTCCTCTGGTCTCCGTGTTCTTATGCACACACACATATAGGCAGTAGGCATGCGCTCATGCAGATGTAAGAAAAAAAAAACCATTGATTCTTGTGAGTTTAATGGGAAAACTAATATCAGCAAATCAAGAGGTCAACATATGATCTGAGAGGGAGTGGATGAGGAAAACACAGACAAGGAACTGTTAATCCAGGGCAGAATGAAGATAGTGACTCAGCAACTGCAGGTCAGGGAGGCAGTCGGACTCTCAGCCCGATGCAGAGACCAGCGGGTTCCAGCCAGAGCCTCCCTGAACTGACACCATGATGGCTTCCCTGTGCTCCACTCCCGCAGCCTGCTGCACTCAAGTGAACTGGGACCCGAGGA